GAGCACGCGCCGCCCCTCCCCTCGCCCGCACCTCCGCAGCGCGGGAGGGCCCCGCCGCGCTCTCCGGCAGCTGCCCTTCGCTCCGTCGCTCCATCGCTGCTGCCACGACTGGGCTCGGCGCCGCAACTGGCGACCCGCAGCCCGCAGCCCACCACCAAAAGGCGTTGCTAGGAGACCGCCCGGGGTGCGGCGACGCATCACTGAGGCACACCCGCGGCGCCACAATGCCTGCCCGGCGGCGAGGGGGCCCCTAAGGCGGTCTGCCTTAAGGATACCGGCCCCTTTCCCCCGGCCACCCCGCGTTCCACCGGCAGCCTTCGGTGGGGCTGGGCACCAAGCGGGCACCGCCGCCCCGCAGCGCCCCGGCTGCCGGGACCGCTGCCGAGAGCGGTCCTGTCCCCTCACCTCACTGCACGACGAAAAAGCCCTTTACTCTCCCAGTTCTGCTGACGGCACTGGCTCAACAAGTGCCTTTCACTCAGTCTCACCCTTTCGTGTTAACCCCGTCAGCCTCATCGGGTACCTTGGTTAAAGCGGCTATACATAAGGAAACCAACTGTGTAAAACCTTCCACCATTTCCCTGCCAAGAACTCCAGAAGATGAGCAACACCGACTTTGAAAATTAAAATTTCTAACCCTCATTCAAGAATGACTGCCAGAAGATGGTGCTTTTTTGTGAGACTCTGGATTGCTAAATCATTTTGCGCCCTTGGTGATGTAGCCTGTTAATTCTCTCTGTACTTGCCCGGACAAATTGTTAGAGGCTCTCGAAACACGTACCCAGTCAGCTTTAAAGCAACAGAGGTTTCAAGGACCACAGAGGACTGACAAAGGCACCTTTGGAAACCACCGGCATGATGAATGTTTCCAAAGAGTTGAGTGCCTTTTTTTATTTTTGAATGTCTCATGGTATCTTCTACTAGCTCGTAGTCGTGTTTTAAAGTCTGGACAGAACATAAATGCCCACTGTAAAACAAACAAACTAAACACAGCTCTTCAAGTAAGTGTCCAGATCAGCCTTCTGTACCCACAGAACAAAGAAAAAAAAAAAAAAAAAAGAAAAAACAAACAAACAAACCCCTCCCTTGCAACCCTTGCTTCCTTCCTCTGCTGCACACTACTACCTCGCGCATGGCAGTTTCAAGTCGTGGCCACCCCTGTTGTCACCCTGTGCCTGGCACAGCCCTTCAGCCACCACCTCAGAAGGACCTCTCAAGCCTGTCAGCCATCTATCAGTTGTCACCTCAACAGAGCTCACCGAGCATTATGGCTGAAATTGGGTTCTCCAAAACCCCTAAGAAGCAGTCAGACACCTCGTGGGAAATCTGATTTAAGTAGGAAAAGGGCACCTAAGGATAAAACAATCCCAAAACGCAACAACAGCCTACAGACATCAGTTCCCTAAAACCCAACACTTTCTTTTTATTCTGGGAAGGACTAAACCATATGCAACAATTCCAATCCTGATAAATGACCCTCCCCACTCTTTGCATTTTTTTTGTCATTTCCCCAACTGACCCTGGGATCAACATACAGCACGTACCTTACATGGGAAAGGCTGTCACTGTCCACAGGTAATGCGCCATCGTTTTCTTTTTGCCCAGCGCTCCTCAGCTTACACTAAGTACTGCTCCCAGCATGACATACCTCTAACACCAAACTGCCAACAAAGGTCAGAAACAATCTTGAATATGCATGATGAGACACACCACCACCGTCATGACGCAAGACTCTTGTGCTAACATACCTATTTTTCTTTGCGTGGGTAGACTTATTTTGACAAAACGCACCTTGTAGCTGTAGTGTTTGTGGTAAAGGGCCGGACCCGTGGAAGTAAACAGCAGAGTGTCCTGGTTCAGCTAGGATAGGGTTAAGTTTCCCCAGCAGAGAGAGAGGGGGAAGGGATCTCCAGCCGGGTTATTCATACCATGCTGGCGTCAGATCCAGGGGCGGGAAACTTTGATTTTACTTTCTCTTTGGCTTTTTTGGTGGCGGGACCCACGCGTCGGCTTTGTTCCGTGACCATTTTGTGGAATTTCTCTGTATATCGTTTGTCTTGTTCACTGTTACTGCTGTTTATTGTTGTTATCATTGCTGCTGTTATTGTTCAGATTGTTTATCACACTGTTGTATTAAATTTCTTCTTATTTTAACCCGGGGTTTGTGCCTCACTGCCAGCCTGACCGGCTAAGGGTGGGGGAGGGGCAACGGCAACATGCTCTCCGGTCCCGGCGGGGCTTAAACCACACACAGAGTTTATCAAGCACAAGTTGACAACAATGAGGACAATACTATCTGCAACATTTTTGCTACTTAAAGGATTATACATGTCACAAAAGTCCAAACAGCTGGTGACGCAACAGCTGACTCTGTGCAGGAACTAAACTGCATGCGTGCAGTACCCAGCAACCACCCACAAAAATCACAGGCTTCCACAGCTGGGCTGCTTCCTATTCTCCGTCTTGCTTTCTCTCCAACAAGTGGATGGGACCAACCCCACCATTAGTTTTCCTCTCGTACTCCAGGTTCTCAGGGAGAACCTGGGAGACGTTAAGAGCCACAGATGGGAAAACAGATGTGTTTTAAATGTTAGGATGCAATCCTGTCACATATGATCACTCTCAATATACAGCTTGAGATAAAAAAGGGTCTAAAGTTAATGTATCCTCCAAAGAGCAAATTCCTTGGTGTCCCTCTGTTTCACACATTCCATATAACAGCCTTCTTTTTGCATAGGGAAAAAATGGACCAGAAATTGTTTCCAGCTGAGCGCTAGGTGTCAGCATTTTAAATTACTGATTCCTTTGCACTGCCAGAAAGTTTACCGTATGTCCTTCCTTCTGCATGGCGGTAGTGTCAGCGTGGCAGTCAAACGGGCAGTTGCATGCTTCTGGCTACTGGCTACTACCACCAGTTATATGGCAAAGAGCACAGAGCTAAAATAATTAAATCCTTTACCTGACTGAAGTATTAGGGTAAAATGTATTAAGTCTGCAGCAAGGGCTAGGAGCTTTAAGTAACACTTCCTACAGAATCTAGCAACTTTGTCCCAGAGAGGGTACTGATTAACTTGACTCATTAATGCCTCAGTTATCTGTATCCGGCATACCTTTGCCTTTCTCTTCAGTAAGTTCTCCTCTTTATTTTGAGAGGGAAGTCCCAAAACAGGAAATACTGGTCTGAAACAGACTGCAAGTCAGATGGACCTGGACCTCCCAAGGATTACAAGGCACATATATGAGAATGAACTTTGCTAAGTGATGCTGACTGAGTCCAAAGAGGACTGGGGGAATGGTGGGAGTTAGATGCAGGAACTGTGGGTACTCTCCTGTCCAGGTCTTTCATGCACAGTTGGACCTGGAAATATACCCTCTCGCCTCTACATATTATAGAGTCAGAAAGTGAGTCTCCATGGAAACAAGTTGACTTTTTCCTGCTTTATGAAAACAAACTTATGTTTGAAATCTACAACAAGGAAGAGTAGAACATTCTGCTTTTCCCAGTATACTCACGGTGGAGAACTGCTTTTCTGATGTATACAAATCACTCTTTTTTCCCCTGCTGAAGTCAGTTTATTTTATGCTTACTATACCAAGTGACTTGAGCGGAGAATCAGCAATATACATACACACACACACATGCGTAAGTATGCATGTATTTTATGCTTCCTCTTGACAAGTCAATATTCAGATACCTCTCTACTTTCTTGCAGATTTTCTTATTTGAGTCCAACAACATTTGGTGTCAAGTAAGACCAAACAACTACCAAGTTTTGATCAATAGCTATGTAAAGACTTGAACACTCTTTCATACAAAAAGTGTTGTGCCAGAGGCAGAAGTGATTGTTTCTGATCTACCTGTTGGGGAGGTTGAAGAGGTTACCATTCCCACACAGCAGTGCAAGAGCAAGCACTCCTCTAAGCACGGTCTTTAATCCTCTAGGAGAGAAAGGTTTCGTCTACAACACTGCTCTCACCTAAGGGAAAACATTGCATATCTTAGTCAGTTTTCTAAAAACCAGTAAAGTTAGAATTTACACAAGAAAGTTTCAGAAAACCAGGAGTATGAAATCGTAGAAAAGGACATTGTTTCGACATAGTATCGCTAAGAAAGATAAGGCAGAAAACAAAAGATTGGGGGGGGGGGGGGGGGGTTTTTAAAAGTCTTATCTTACAAGTACAAAAAGCAATGTTTAAAAATCAAAATCCTAGAAGATACTCTGGAAAAACTGACTTCTAAAGCACAAGACTTTTCTGTGAGAACTCCCAAACAATGTCACAACTCCTGAAAATCCTGCATTCAAAGGATTCAAAAGGAACAAAAGTATGATCCAGCTCAAGTAACCCTGTTTAATGGCACTTCAAACTTCATAATCCAGCAGTCCATCTGACCAGTCTCTAAAGAATGTGTCGGGGCACTCTGTGGCTACAGAGCAAAAGGGTTGGCATGAACTGATATATCTTTAATGCGAACATCATTGAGAGGTCGGTAGGTTTTCTCATTCACAGGCAGCTTCTCCAGCTCATCCAGGGTCTCCAAGCCATCGATAACTCTGGAAGAAAAGCAGAAATGCTGAGAATCTCCTAATAATGATTTAGATTTCACAACTGAGATATCTCAAAGCAGTTTACAGTGAAGTATCACAGGGCAAAGACTTTGCAAGCGAATGGTACAAGTAAGACTGCCAAAACATTATAAATGGCATATATTTTGAAAGGAAACATTAAGCATCCATAACAGATTCTGATAAAAAGTACAAATAATTCCCACTGACCTGACAGTATCATATTTTACACCAACTTTAGCTCTATAAAGACCCTGGCTGCACTTCCTGGCAGGCAGGACTGACCAATCATACCGTAGGTTTCAGTAGCAGCAAGATACTGTCCATACCAAAACTTCACTGTGAATTACTGAAATCCTGTGGCTGGAAAATCCATTTCCCAATGTGAGATTATAATTTCTAACCTTCTGACTCAAAAGACAAGATTGGACAGAATCATAAATAACTGTGTAAATCTAATGGTACAAACATGCTTTAGCTTTCGGATCTCCCGTTTGGGCTGAAGAAGTGGCAAGAGAGACTGTTGTAATAAACCTCTTAATTTTTTTGTTTAAGTAAATAGCTCTGGTAAACCTTGACAGTTTATTATTTCCCAGTAATGGACTTGGCAGAAAACACCTTGTGCTGTTCACAGTTCAGTCACGTTCACAAACTGCCACAGAAAACCTGGCAAAGTTCATCTGTCAGAGCTCTTTTCTAAGAAGTCTAAAACACCTACTTTCAATCACACTTCTAAACAACTCAGAAATGAAGGGAACACCTGTATTTAGATGCCTATAAACAATACATTTGATAGAAAATTGTATTTTCACATTTCAATAGTTTCCCTTGAATATTTAACTCCATTTAATAAAGGCAACTTTTTCTCAGCAGATTCACTTGTACAGTAGAGACTTTTTAACAAGGAAAAAAAAAAAAAAAAAAAGACTACCATGATTTTGAGATAGAAAAAGCAGAATATGAAAGACTCAAAAATTGAACATTTCCTTTAAGGATCCATTATCAGTAGTGTCTATTAAGAATGTTTTAAATAATGATGCATCTTAAACAAGCTCTGTGATTTTTATGTGGCCAACTGAAAGTTCCACCTAAATAGAAGTACAAACATCAGTACCACACCCATTCCCAGATTCAGTCCCAAATCAGACTCTTGTTTCTCAGTAAACCCTACAACCATGTATCCAGGTGTTCTGGAGTTTGCTGAAAATCAGGCTGCAGCCCTTTGGCCATGGATGAAAAGGCAAGCTGGAATAACTTGGGGGGGGGGGGGCA